TGATATCATTGGCATTTTTATATTTGGCAAATATATCTAAAATAATATTTCATAGTTCTAAATAAGATAAACTACTGATAAATTTAAAAGATCTTTAAAATCATTCAAAATATCTAAAAGATAAATCAAATCTTCCTAATAATCCATTAAATATAAAATAATCCTTTTAAATAATAAAATCATCAATTCAATATATTGTTGAAATCTCTTCCACCAAGCCAATTCTTAAAACAACTTACCATTGGTTTAAGACACATATCACTGTTCACAAGCCAATCTGATTAAAATAATATAAATCTTGGGCTTCCATTTAGCTAACTTCATTCAATGCATGCATGTGATTTTGTGCATGGCTTAGTTTGAGACTTTCAAAATTTAAATTTTAAACCTCCCGCCACAAATATTTGTCTTGCGGGAGGATCTCTTAGGGAGTGTTTGGTAATATGAAAACCATGGTTTCAGAAGCACTTTTCCGCAAAACGAGACAAACTCCTCCACATATTTACTTCGTAAATCGTAAAAGCACTTCTGAAACCATGATTTGGTTTCTATCCAAACACCCCCTTAGTCATGCAAGTAAAATTAACAATTAAAAAAAAACCCTTTCAAATTGCTCTTCTAGTGTCTTTATGCTTCTTCTTTTCTCTTCTCCGAGACCTTTATTTTCCTCTCTTATAAATCACAATCTCCCTCTGTCTCCATTCTACTCACCTCAAATTCAAAATCTCTCTGGCCAAGTATTAGAAGGTGATGTAAATTGGTGGCTTGGTGCCGGGAAGTGTGTGGATAGTGTGGAGATATGCCATCCATGGTGGCGGCAAAAAAGCAATGGAATGACAAGGTAAACCAACCCCACATCTCGGGCATTTCTTTTCCTCTTCAATTTTTTTGTACAAAAATTTTCTTTTCTACTTTTCATTATGAGTTATTTATTTTTCCTTCCTCGCATCGTCGTCGGTAATCATGTTTCATTCCCTCTGAGTCACTGTTGCTTCCATTTCCTGGTCCCACAATATGAAAAGGGGTTGTAATATTCTGGCGTACTTCCCTTCCTTCCTGCTCTCTCCCCTTCTTTATTTTCCTTATGTTTTCACTTTGGAATTGCATTTCAAAGAACGCATTTTGGCAATTTTTTGAGTTCAACTATTGTCAGTGATGACTGGGAACTTTACCAGATCACTGTTTCAACCAAAAGAAACCCTCTGATGTTGCTTGGGGGATACACTAGGAGTGGGGTTTCATGGGTTACTGAAAGGGAGAGATCAAATCATATGAAAAGGTGCAAGAAAAACAATCAATAGAGTTGGAAATAGAGAGCAAGGCATAGACTCAAGCAAATCACATGGCAAAGCCCATTGTTTTTAGTACGTAATATCTCTCTCTAACCCAATAATCATTTGGCTGTCCTTATTGGAAGTATTTTCTCTTAGATTCATGAATCAATACTTAATCGTTTGTGTTTGTTATGGCTAATGCTCCAATCATAAGGACTTTCATTATCACCTCGGTGCCTTTTACTATCTTCTTCAAGATTGAAGGTCATTATAACAGACTAAGATTGTCTTATGAGGTGATCTTCCCAGTTTAATTGATCTACTTTTATTTTCTTTGATTTAGTGTCTGGTGTCAAATAAATTCACTAATTGATGTCAATACAATTGACGATCAAATTTATAGTTTTCATCTTCTTTATATTATATTATTAAACTGGACTGGACGTTAGGCTTTTCAATGTGAAAACACCTCGATTCCTTTCAAAATGGGTCACCGATAATTTTTGCTCCCATTATTCAGGTACTTGGCGTGAAAGTTGTCAATTTGTGAGGCTAAAGTCAAGTCTGATATAATTTTCATTTAGTTAGTATGAATCAGAGCTTCATTAGTAGACTTCATTTTCCTTACAAGTTGTTCTTAAGATCTTACTAGCGACTAACAAAATCATCTGACTGATGTTGATTTCCATTAAAAATGAAAAGATTAGAAGACATGTGCATCTCATATAATTTCAGCTTCCTCTTACCCTATATTGCTCCCTCCATCTCAAGACATATTTGGAAAGCTTTTGCCTCTGGAAATTGATGTTGTGGAGGTAATATTTTCTTTTGGAATGTATTTTAAAGTGTTCAATTTCTTTCTTTCTCATTTTATGGAATTTTGACACTCTTTATAATGTGCTAGGAATGTGTTTCTCAATTTTGTTTGCATTGAACTTTGACCTGTACACTGCTTAATGAACATGTTTAGCAAGCTACCCTAAGTGATACATGTTTAAGCAAACATTGTGAATGTCACCGAAATATAATAGAACTCATGGTCTTTTCAATTTCAACTTGTGTGGCAAGGATTCTTTAAATTTAACATGTCTGAGACACATTTTTCAGTCAACTTTCTCTCAGAAACTTTATGTAAAAGGCTTCCATATCCAACGGCGAAAGTCACAGTAGACATATATATCAGTTCTTAGTAGTGTTCCTTAAATATTATTAAAGTTGGTGTTAAAATATCCATGAAGTAAGTTATGAAATGTCCTATGCGTGGTTATATAAAAAATTAGGTGACGAGGGAGAATAAAGTATTACATCCATAAACTCGAAGACAAGCGAGAATAAATTTGATAATAATAGCACTGTGGTATTGTTCTTTTGATCTATTTCCACGAAGCGATTATATTATTATAAAATTTTAATACATACTCTGAGGCTTTGTTTTTAAATCCATTAATTTTTTATTACATACTGAGCTTGCTTAGCTATGCAGGATCATAATAAGACCTTTTCATGGAACTGAATGTAGGAGCATTGGTCAACGAAGTCTTTTAATTACTTTTTGAAAGAGCTGAAGCTTAGTATTTTAATACATTTATGTATATATATTGCAGAAGTTCGTCTTTTTCTGATCGAGAAATCTTGCATAAGTTATTTGTTATTGAGTGAGAGCAAACAACAGTACTCAAGCCATCTACTTTATATTGTCGAGTTTCTTTCTTTAATGCAAGTACTACCTCTGATCCTTAATATAAGACTTCTTTTGATTTTTATTTTGATCCTAATTATAAGATTCCAATCCATTTTGTCTCTCATATTTATATATTTTTTCCAAAGTAGTTTTTCTAATAATGATAGTTCTAGCCAATAAATTTGATTAGTAAAGATATTTTAGAAAATACAACACATTTATTACAAATAACTAACTTAACTTATTTTCTTAATTTTCTCAAATTAGTCAACTAGCTCTTATAATTAGGACTAGAGGTAGTATTATCTTTACTGAATGTTATGAAACATTTTGACATTGGCAGATGTGAACAGTTGTTTCTTGGTCATTTTTAGGAACCTTTGATATCAACTTTTATTACAAGTCATAGACTATTTAAATGAATTGAAAACCTTTTTTTATGATACTGTTTTTAGGTACCAAATATTGGCACCCTTCGCATATGAATGAAATGAGACCAAATTCAAGTGTTAATCGGATGGCCATGAATTTTTTAGAAAGCAGATGGCAATTTCATATGTGAAGGAGGAAATTCTCAATCAATCCATGTTTTGCTATGACTATCAACAAAATTCATATTGGGATCCATTTACTGAAGCCAGTTTTCACACATGATTTATCATGCATTTTGCACTGTCGAGATTGAAATGCATAGATGGATTGAAGATTTTTGTGCCTAATAATGGAAGTGATATTAAGAAGACTTAAATTAAATATGAGCATGTTTGGAACATAGTAGAAAATAGAATTTTATTTCCTTTTTTTTTTTTTGGGCAACAGGGTTAGAGTTTTATAGTTTATGTTATCATGACTTAATAAAATAAAATATAACACATCTCTTTAATTACAATCTTCCCTCGCATTACCTGGGTAACACATTCTAGTTACATATAAAATTAAAATAAAATGATTTAATTGAGATCCCTCTTAAATAGATTTTTTTTATTTATTGTTTTTTCATATGTGTCTCTTGAATGTTGAATGTCACACAGGATAATTGACGTAATTATCCTCTGGTCTTTTATTTCAACGTAAGGAATTGGTTGAGATTTTTTTTTTTTGGATAATAATAATACTGCCTACTAATTATTACATATTAGAATTACTTTCATATATTTCATGCTTGGAACGAAATTATTTGACCGTACAACTTTTTTTGTCCCTGAGCTAATGGAATTTTCCAAGATAAATCAAATTTAATGGTACCAATACTTGACAGAACTAGTTTCAGTGCTCATCGCAGTAATGAGCACTATGATACTCATCATCATAATGATTCATATTCAATTTTAATGATCTAGATTTAAAATTTTTAACCAATAATTTTAAATAAAAAATTATTTTTAAAAAAACTTATAGTTAAAAGATTACACTTATTTTGAATTATCTATTTATTAAAAGAAATTTTTAAAAAAAAATATTAAAAAAATTAAACTTTTGTTGTTCATATTAAATTTGAACAGTTGAGATTTGATGAGTATTATAGTATTTACTACTGTCATACAACTCCTATTAAATAGGGTCATACTAGTTAAGTTACTTCAAAGCAGTATACTAGAAAAACGTAACTAACGATTTGTTTTCTGTCACAATTTTACACAGAGAAATGAAGTATATATATATAACAAAATACAGAAGAAAGATGATGTACCCTATTAGTATACAGCGGCAGGGAATAAAATGCACAGTGCTAGTGAGTTTGGTTAACATGGGAGGTCCATGGATGTGTGGATATGGAGCATTCTCAAATGAAGCCTCATGATTATATGTTTTGGTGAAAGATGATCTTGCTGCATAAAGAAACTTCACTTGTTAAAGCTTCACCTCGAAGTTTTGTTGTATGAGCAATAATTATCCTCCTCCTGGACTTCCCTTTCTTTCCTTTCATAAGTAAGCTACTATATAGACGCGCGTGTGTGTATATATTCCTAGTTGAAAACTTTTCCTAAGTGTAAAAGTATAATACAAAATCATGTTGATATATATGCATGAGGGAGAAAAAGGATTTAAGGAAATTGGAAATTCCCTCCAGTTGTGTTGCTACTGGCAGGTGGGGAAACAGCAAGCCATAGAAGGGAAAGAGTAATGGCGATGAGACCTGACCAAACATAAACAATGGTGGGCGTCTTCCTTCTCCTTCCCATTAAACCTTTTGCAAAAGGATAGAGATGAACCAAAACCCACAAGCTAAAGAAGGCTCCTCCAATAAATTTATTCCACTGAGGGATTGCTGAGAAAACCGTCCTCATGAAAGCAACAACAATGGCGATAATATTGACCATTCCAATAATAATTGGTGGAAGCATCAATGAAGTCCACTTAACCAAATACAATTCTGCATAAATGTCATCATTATCTTCAGAAGATGATTTGGATGTCAAAGTGAAGGATATCTCAATCCCTGCAATCACTTTTAGGAGCCCTTGTATTACAGCAGCCAAATGCGCACTAGTTCCGGCAATAACCCAAAACTGCTCATTCCTCCACCATTCTTCCAACCCCACATTAGCCCATCTCACCTCAAGAATGGCTAGCGCTATGAGACAAAGAGTAATGGCAAGAAGGTAGACCAAGAAGGCGATGCTAAGATTCTTAACAATGAAGAATCCTGACATAAGGGAGAGTGCTGGAAGGAAGCAATATACGAGAAGGAAGATGGAGGTGAATGGGTAGATTCCGACGTTGAGGTAGCCTAGACGTTGCAAGAACTTGAGCCTTTTACCAGCAAGGAAGGCGTTGTTCTTAGAGAAGAAGATTTCCACAGAACCTGTGGCCCAACGTAACACTTGGTGTAATCGATCTGTGAGATTGATCGGAGCCGTCCCGCGAAATGCATCTCGTTTAGTTATGCAATACACCGATCGCCATCCACGGTTGTGCATTCGGTAGCCGGTCACCACATCCTCAGTCACAGAACCATAGATCCATCCCACTCTGTCTCCCCATTCAGTCTTGTCCTCGTACCTATACAGAAAAAAAAATTCATTTGATATGCCCACAGCACACACATGCCGAGAATCGTCATCTTATATGTTATTCTTTATGCATAAACTAGTCCTGTAAGACTTTAATTAGCTATTTTTCCAAAATTTATAATTCCTTTTTTTCCCAAATTATTCCTATTGGTTATCCATATTAAGAAGATTTCCACAAAAGAAATAATTTCCAGTTCAAATAACGAAGTGAGCATCTAGAAAAACCGACAAACATCTTTTACAAACAACTGTTCTTTCTAGTCTTTATTATAAGGCATTCTTAATTAATTCTTACATACCAACGAATGAAAATTAAAGCATTAAGTTTGTCCTGAATTTATAATTTTTTTCTAGTTTCTTCCCAACTTAAATGATGTAGATGAAGAAACACAAAGTTAAATAATAGGCTTATTTACACTAAACCTTAGTTACTTAATTAATTTTCTTAATCTTTGTAAATGAGTTATCTAACTTCTATATTTAGGACTGGCTGAAGTAATAACTTGCAATAAATATTAAAATGAAATAAATGAGTTATAGCGAGATTATTATCTAGGATACATACCAACAAGAAATTACTGAGACAGCTTCAGCAACAGTAAGGGCATCAAGTGGTTCACGAGGAGCCCTAAGTGCACCGGGAGGACGACCGTACTTAACGGCAGGGTGATCGGCGAGAGGGCGGCCTTGGTACTCGGCGACCGCAATGCTTTCGGCGAGCATGGTCGAATTACCAAAACGCTTGGGTAAGTTATTAACGTTCAGGTTGGGATCAAAGTCAAAGGGATTCAAAGGTTGCACTTCAGCAGCATGGCTAGAATCTGAGTTCTGAGATTTACCATCAATTTTCTCAACCATTGGTGGATCAAAACCATACAGTGCAAAACGCCTAAACATACAGCCAGTTCCCACATAAAATGGCCCTTGGACACCATCAAGGGCTCGCATGTTTCCATCAAAGAATACCGTATTGTGATTAGCATAGCGATCAGATGGATCGATGCCTTCAAATCTTTGTGGGAATTGAATATAACAAATATCTTCACCACCTCGATCCATCATGAAGCACATTCCTTCACGAATGGCTTTGCAATTGTAGAAGTAGTGATCACAATCCAAATTGAAGAATAAATGGGCCGTTTGATAGAATTGCTGATGATCTAACTAAGGCATTCATGGCTCCGGCTTTTTTGTTGTGATCATAGCCTGGTCGCTTCTCTCGGGACATATACACAAACATTGGTAACCTTGTATCCACATCTGAGAAATCTATAATCTTGTCGTCTCGACTTCCCATCAATGGATCCGGACTTGGAGGTTTCAGCATCACCTATGGATCCAAACATATAAATTTATTACACGAGTTCAAGTCACAGTGAGCCTAAAGTTGTTTTTTTCTTTTTTTTGGGGGGGGGGGGGAGCAATTCTAAAGTTGTGTTTAAAGTTAAGGCAAATAGGACCTCCAAGAACATTAACTATCACTGTGAAATTAAATAGACCCTCTAAGAATTCAAATTTTGAAAGAAGTTTTTTGAAAAATGGTCCTTAGATAGAATTATTTTTTTTCAATACTCATGTTTAATCTTTTCAGTATTTAATTTATTTGATATTTAGTACTGATCTATAATATTTTTAGTACTTATTATATATTTTGGCCAAATGATGATTTCCATGTTCAACTTCAACTTTGTTTTGTTAAAAGTATTATCTTGAATGTTTTTAGTACTTAAAAAAATTAAAATTAAAAGTTAGTACTAAAAACTTGAATATAAGTATTAAAAATATTAAAGAAATATTAAAAATAAGTACTTAAAAAATTAGTCCAAAAAAACTGATTCCAATAAGAAAAGTAGGGTTGATAATATCTTCAATCATTAAAATTTGACTTTGCTTTAGTTTTGGTCTTCAAAATTTGACTTCAATTTGGTTTCATGAAAGATTTTTAGTCCTTGCAACAATGTTTTCTTCTCTAGAACAAGGAGCAGAATGAGATCATTTCATGAACCAAAATAATTGGTTTCAAATTTCAGAAACCAAAGTCAAAATGAGATCAAATTTTATAAACTAAATTATAGATTAGATTAACCTCAAAAAACTATGGTCCATCTTTTTAAATATAAAGAATTTATAGTCTATAAATATGATTAATATTTTTAGGAGCTTCTTAAATATCATTGTTTAATTCTTAAAATTATATCTACCACATATATGTACCTGAAGAATCCCTGTGTGGTCACCTTTGGCATGTTGACTTGAAGGAACAGCCCAAGTACCTGGCCAGTGGGTCCCATCAGCCATCCACGTGGCCTTCACTACTTTCACAGGCTCTGAAGGGTCAGCCCCAGTCTCCTTTAAATGCTTAATCATCTTCATTTCCTCTCTAGCATTGAACGCATCAGATCTTCTCCTGATAGAATCTGCCAAACCATTTATCCGAACCTTGAACTCATCATACTCCCTCTTAACCCTCCTTCTATCCTTCACAAAATCCAACCTACTTTTGTTCTTAGTAGGATCAACTTTTAAGCTGAAATACGTCTCTGGATTGCGTGGTTCAATATCATGTTTTCTGCAAAAAGGAACCCATAAATCTGCAAAGCTTGCAGCTTCAGCCATTGCTTCAAAAGTAAGTAAAGCGCCTCCATCATCAGAAATATAACAGCAAAGTTTCTCCACGGGGTAATCAACTGATAAAATGGAAAGGATGGTATTGGCTGTGACTAGAACTGGTTCTTTCTCGGGGTCGGCAGTGGACACGTAAACGTCGACGCCGGGGAGGTCGGATCGGCCTGTCGGATTGGACGGCGACGGCATGTCGAATTTGTCATGAAGAGCTTGAAGATCGGTAGATCTATTACATGGCATGAGCTTTGGGATTTGGTCAAGCAACCATGAGAAGGCAAACCATATCTCACAAATTACAGACATTAACCACAGCCAAATTGCATCCTCATTTGGATGCATTATTCTCCAGTGCAAAAAGAAGCCCAGTACAACAAACCGGATTGCAATGATCAACCTGAATCAATCACTAATAATTTAGTTAATTTGCAAAATCCATATACCTCAAACAAACATTTTGATCATGTAACCAATCAAGAGAAAAAGCGAGAATAAAATATAAAATATCAATGTTTGGTACAATGATAATGCAATTCAAAAATTTAGTAAAAAAGTGATAGTATTTAGATAACCTCAAATTGTAGTTTAAATAAAAAATAAAATAGAAGGGAATATTGTTTAAAAGGTTAATATCATTATTGATATTTACAGTTTGATCTAATTTTAATTTAAGTCCTTGGTTTTAGTCCTTAGTTTCATAAGCACTTGGTCTAACTTAAAGGACAGAAATCAAAACCAAAATTCATTAGAAGTATAGAGTCCATTTATTAAACTTAGACAAAAAAAAAATGAAACTATAAGTACCAAAACCAACAGTTTGAATAATTTGAAATTATAGGTACTAAAACCAATAATTTAAAACTACAAAGATCAAAATTAAAACTCAATCAAACTAATAACCAATAAACTATAAGAATTAACGATGGTAATAATCCTTATTTGAAAAAATTAGGAAAATTTTATTAAAAGTCCCTGTTTGAAAATTTAATTGACTAAAAGAACTTAAATTTAAGCAAGTGTAATTATGATACGTGAGTATAACATATTTTTCATTGTGTGTAACATATCATCAATGATGTACAACAATCATCAATATAGAAGTCATTTGTACACGGTTGAAGATATGTTGCACACAGCAGAAGATATATTATACTTACATATTATCGTTGCACTTACTCAAATTTAGGTCATTTAGCCAATTAAATTTTTTTACCAAATTTTCCAAAATTATTATGTTCGCTTGAACTGATGACATTACCATTAGTTTTTTCCAAAAAAAAAAAAAACAAGCAAACTTCGGGAAACAAAATTAAAATCCATCGCATCTCATCAAGAGATGATCAGATTAGAATCGGATAAGCACCTGTAAGGACTGATGATGGAATTTGGAATGGGCGTTTTCCGGCTAAGTGGCTTCCAAGGCTTTTCTGCTAAATCCATTAGTCCGCCGCCACGACCGTCGCCAGAGTCGTCAGCGTACATGTCATCTTGTGGCCAATAAGCATTTCCGACTCCGTACGTCCCCTTGGTCTCGAACAACCACCGGTTGTGGTCAAATTCTCCATTTTGATTCCGTTTCATTACTGACATATTATTCGGATCCCTTTCTGACCCGTTTGGTGCAGGCAAAGATTGTAATGCCCCACCTGAATAATTGGGCGAGTCATCTTCATATTCCCCTATTTTGTATGGCTCCCTGCAGCCAGGGCATAGTCCTGTCTCTTTTTGTGCATCTAAAAAGCAGTCTCTGCAAATCTTGAATCTAAATGCACCAAGAAAAAAAAAAAATCCTCATTTGAGGCACACTCCAATTCTCCGCTAATTCTAATTATAGAAAAGAATTGAAAATTAATTAAATAAAATAAGTATTTTTTATGGATATAAAAATGCCATTTGTGCTCTTGGTTAATAATAATAATAATCAAATAGTAACTAAATAAAATAATATAATAAATATCTAATTATCTCCGTTTTTGTGCAATGGTAATGAGATCTCAATACATTTAAATAATAAAAGAAATTTAGTAAAGACCAAAATATGATACTTACAATTTAGAGTATGAAATCAAAAGCTGATTTTCTTGGTAAATTATTTTTATCCTAGAAAATGATTGACCTTTGAATCCATTACTCTATAATGGGTGTCAAAAGTAACTTCTACACCGCAAAAAACAACTTCTGACCATTTCTCTTGTTTGGATTTGTGACTGTTTAAGAAGTCTTTTTCTCTTCTATTGCACGATGGAGCAAAAGCCATGAAAAATGGCTTTTCTGGTGCATCACGGTGCAGCAACATTATGAGCTCCTTAAATTTGTCACCTACCCAAGTTGCCCTTCTACCCAAAAACAGGATGAAAATTAACAAATCTTTTTTTGTAACAGTTTATAAGAAAACTTGCCCAATAGAAAAAGCAAACCAACCCAAGAATTCTCAAGTGAGTTTGAGTGGAGCTGAAATCCATGAAGCCATGTGGCGCTCTGTTTTTCTTCACCGGAGAAGAAGCAAAAGAATCTTGGAGATACAGTGGTGGGTCTACACCATCCTAAAGACTTGTTGCCTGCATCAGGGGCGTTGTGGTTTGAGAGGGATTTTGAGACGCTAAGGTGGGGAGAGGCCGTGAATGATTATTGTTGCTGCCATCAGGGGCGAATTGACAAAGGCAAGGTGGGGAGGGGTAGAGAAGGCAGGAGGTGGAGTGAGAAGTAAATTGATTAGAGATTTTGGAGTTTAAAAAAAAAAACACCAGAACCTTCTTTATTTTCTGTTAAGATATCTTTTTGTTTGTTATTTTATTATCTAAAATCTTATATTGAGATAAGTTTGCCCAAATCTCTCTAATCTCAAGGGATTATTCAAATATATTTGCATCTTTTTATTGTATTTATTTTTATTATTTAAAATTTATATACATTTTTTATCCATTAAACGTATCTAATTAAGTACTTTAGAACTATTTTTATTTTTATAATTTGTTAATTTTAATATTTCTCTTACAATTTTCACATTATGTACATACTATATATATGTCATTTAATAAAATTTATGCTTTTTTAGTTATTTTATACCTAAATTTACTTTTTCATTACTCATCCAAACAAATTTTAGCTACTCAAACTAACTTCTTTGTAAAAGCTAATCTAAACATAAATCACATCGTACTATCTGACTTTTACCCGGAGGGTGTTTGGATTCCCTCATAAGTGCTTTTTAAAAGCATTTTTCTGCAAATCGAGAGAAACTCCTCCACATATTTACTTCATATACTGTAAAATCACTTCTAAAACCATGATTTGATTTTCATCCAAACACCCCGGCCGCCCCTGATTTGACTTCTGTATATTGCAAAAAAAGTTACTTCTCTACCGCTAATCCAAACACACCTACCTAATGTTGATTTTTTTCAGTTTAATCTCTGGGCATTGTTTTTTTTTTTAGGCACTGAAAATTCAAAAGTTTTGAACAACTATAGTAATTAAAAACCAGAGGAAGTAATGTCATGCCTCAAATCCCAAACCTAAGAATGTCCATAAAGAAAGTGCCAGAAAACTATAAGGGAAATAGTGGTGAAAAATTATACTAAAATGGCTATTCTTTAGAAAAAGAATTTTAAGAGATTGGGAAAAAACTATAATTTACTTAATTTTCTCTACTTGTTTTTATATTTTTTATGTACATACCTGCACTCACATGGAATCACATCATTCCCTCTCTCATCCTTCATAACTTTGCCATCACAGGCAGGTACCGCACAAGAAGACCCTTTAGATCCAGCCATTTGAGGGTGACTAACTTCAGAATCAATAACCTTATCCATCAGATGAGCTCGGGTCACGCTATTGAATCCGCCTGTGAATAAAGAATTTGAAACGTATTGTTCTTCGGCTTTCATGGCCACCGACGTGTCCATCGGCTGGTTATCTGGGGTCGGCGGAATATGAACTGTGTAGTTCGTGTAATCGCCGGACGATGAGTCCGCCGCCGACATGTCAATATCTTCCTTCGATAAATTCACATATCTCCCACTCGATGTTCGTCTCGCAAACTTCACAGTTTGCCCAGTCGACCCACGGGACGATCCTTGGTTAGATGATCCTCCTGCATTGCGTAAAGCCTTCTTTGGAGGCTGATTATTCGATGACGCCATATTCTCTCTCTTCTTCTTCTTCTTCTTCTTAATTAGATGATCTTTCTTTGATTAGTTTCTTCTCTGACACATCAGTGCCATTGCCACTTTATTATCGAAAACTGACCATCATTTATGTGAAATCATGTAATATCACACCTAAAGAAGACACAAGGAGAAAAAGTGGGAGAACAATCATTTGCGCAAATAATATTGAATAGGAAAACCAAAGTGAGTGACTAAGATCAAGTTAAGGATCTATGGTGAGAAAAACCAAGGGCCTATTTTTAGAGTCCTCATTCTCGGGTTTTTAGGTGTGTGTGTGTGGAGGAATAGTTATATGCTCAGGAATATCGGTTTTTTATCCACTCACTTGTATAGCCTCTACAATAACGGAAAATCTATGAGACGTTTATAGGCACGAATTATAAGGTACTCTTGTATGATACTATACTAATTTGTATAACTATAAATTTTATACTGATTTGGAAGTTCTCTTATTGACTAAGATAAACTAATCGGTTTGTATGGAAAATTCCGTGGTAGCATTTTTATAACTTGACCGTAAAAGTACTACCTCTTGTCCTAAATAAAAGACCCAGATCAATAATTCGTATAGATTTAAAAAATTATTTTAGTATTTTTAAAAATGTGTGTTAATTTTTCTGAAATGCCCTTTAATCATTTGCATAAGAAACTACCTATTAATTAAAATATCTTTAATATATATAATTAAAAATATAAAGTTGATAGACAAAGCCTTATATTTAGAACCAAAATTAGCTATTTTGCTAATTCTTTTATTTAGAACCGAGTAATTTTAATTCAATGTACTAAATGTAATAATTGGGTAGAGGTGTTAAAAGTCAGAGTTCAAATTCATTTGACATAACATTCACCTTCCAAAGTCCCATAGACCAACATAGCTTGAGGCCTTATAGTAATCTCCAAGTTTCGGGTTCTTTACTCTTGCAATACTAGAGCTTTTTTTGCATAACCTACTAACACTACAAAAAAATTGACTTTCAGCGGCGACTTGAAAGTACAAAAGTCGCCGCCGAAAGTTTTTTGCGGCGACAAGTCGCCGCTGAAAAGTCGTTGCCGTAGTAGCCATGGCTGAAAACTTTCAATGAAGACTAAAAAGGTCGCCGCTGAAAGATACTTTCAGCGGCGACTTTTAGAAGTTTCGGCGGTGACTAGTGTCGCCGCCGAAAACACTTTCAGCGGCGACAAAAAAGTCACCGCAGAAAACACTTTCGGCGGCAACACTCTTGTCGCCACTGAAAGACTTTTCAGCGGCGACAAATGTCGCTGCCGAAAGCGTTTTCTGCGGCGACTTTTTTGTCGCCGCTGAAAGTAATGCCTAAGAAGAATTGGCTTTACAATGCCACGTCATCGCCGTCGGTGCCACGTCATCGTCTTCGGCCGCCACGTCATCACCGTCGACCTCCACGTCATCGCCATCGGCGGCCACATCATCACCGCCGACCGCCACATCATCACTAGCCACCTCCATGTTATTGCCACATCACTCCTCCTCGCCACGTCATCGTTCCAATTGATGTATAAAGGAGGTGTGATACATTTACTCATCATGGCATGATAAACAAAATATATTGTCCTTGTAAGAAATGTATAAATGTTATTTTCAAAGTAAGAAGAGATGTTAGGACAGATTTGTTGTATCAGACTTTACTTTTAGACCATATTACATCTCACTTAGAACCATTTGGAATCATTTCTTATGCCCTTAGATTAGAAAATTTTGAACTTTAAAATTTCATAAATCTGGGTTACTATTTCATATAACCCTAATAAAGGTCAAATTTTAAAAAATCATAATTAATTCTAGAAAAATCAAAATGAGATGGTTCCAAATTTTATTTAAAGCTCTTAATATGATCTTTAGAAAAAAAATACTCAATTATATCTAGACTTTACCAATCAATCCCAGAATTCATGCAAAGTGATACTATTCATATGGTCATTTTTCAATTTACTAGAATTTATACAGAGGTGGGAATTAGGGCCTGCCCTTCAGGGGCTGGCAGGCCTAAAAGGGCCAGCCCTCTAGGGCTAAAATTTTAAAAATACCCTAATTTGCTAGGCCCGGCCCTTAAGTTAACGGGCTCAGGACCAGCCTGCAGGCTTTTGACCCGTTTAAGGGAAAAAATACTATTTTTTATATTTCTCATATTTTTTATTAAAAAAATAAAAATAAACCAATGAAATTGTTAATAAAAGACATAAATATGAATAAAATTAAGTCACAAATACAAAATATCATCATATATAAATATCCATAAACATCTAAGAATGTCTAAAATATTCATTAACAAGATAACAACATCCAAAAGTTTTATCTATAGTGCAATTGTGCAATAAATAAACATTATTATTAATCTTTTGAAATTTCATCATCACTATAATCAATTACTCTTCTTCATAAGTATGCTTTTTTTTCATAACAAAAATATCAAATTTTTCTTCTTCATAGGAATTTTACTTTTAAATTTTGCAATCTAGCTATTATTTTATTTTAATGTGAGAAACATTATTGTTGAAACTCATAAATTTCTAATTCAAATTATAGAATCACAAGTTATATAAGTATAAAAATACTCTATTATCAAATATATATACATAGTTTAAAAATATCAACGCATATAATATAAATCAAATCATTATTAAAATCCAAATTAACCCATTTTTTAAAAATTTAATTGGATAAATTATTGTCTAAAACTAAATAAATCAAATCATTATGTAAAATTTAATTTTTAAATGATAATAATAACTAAATATTTGAAATATTATTAACAACGTAAAAAATTAATAACATTAGAATTACATAAAAAAAATTAAAAAAATATAAAAGGGCCTAAACGGGCCAGCCCTTTTAAGCCCTCGACCCTCCAGGGCTTGTTTCCCATTTGAGGGGAAAAATTTCAAACCCAGCCCTCATAATTTTAGGACCCAAATGGGCCAGCCTGATGAGCTCGACACGTTTTCCAACTCTAGATTTATGCCTAAACTTTGGATAGACATAAGTTTTTACAAAAAACTACAAATTTGATGAAATACCACTTAGTTTAAAGCTAAAATTATGATCTATAAGTCTGTCAAGTTTCAGCTCATGCCAAATGTCCCTTCTTCTTGATTTTTCTTTTAGATTTTGGGCTTAAATTGGGCTTAAGCTCGCTTTACATAATGGACCATGGCTGCACGAAATTTCTGGGCTTTTTTGACCTAAAATAAAGCTTAAAACTGATTAGAAAAGAAGATGAAGTGTGGCCTAATCACAAATTACCAATATCTAACCAAAACTTACTATATGGGTTACTGTTTTCAAAAATAGTTCTGGACATCCAAAAATTCATTTCTCTCCATCAAAAACTTCCTTTTAATATAGGGAACTCCCCTAAAGTTTTGGAATTTATCTCATTCTCTAACTATTTATTTTAAATTTTTTCCAAAATCAAGCTTTACAGATAAGATTTTAGTAATAAATATTCTAAAATTAATTCCTGCACCCAAATTGCATCATATCCCAACAACATGCGAGGTAATCCCATGATGAAATTCATAGAGATACTATCCTATTTCCATTCAAGAATACTCAAAGGCTGCAGAGGTCCTGATGGTTTCTGATGTTTCATCTTGATTTTCTAACAAGTGAGGCACTTAAACACATACTCTGTGATGTTTCTTTTTATACCAAGCCACTAAAATAACTCTCTAATGTCTCAGTATATTTTGTCATGCCTGGATGTATAGTATACTTGCTTTTGTGTACCTCTTCCAGGATTTGTTCCTTAATATCAAACACAGAAGGAAAGTACACTCTCCTTTTGTACTTCAGTATTCCTTTTGGAGAGATCTCAAAATCTCGAGTTTTGTTCCTTAATACTTTAGCTCTGAAGATGTCTGTTGACTGATCTTTCTTATGAGCTTTTTCTATTTGCTTCATCAATTGTGCCTCTGCTTTTACCACCTCGACTTTTTCTGTCATTAATAGCATCTGATAGATAGGATTCCAAGCCCTAACGCCTTCAATAGTTTCTGTTCTTTGATCATTAGTGATGCTACTTTTATCACCTTCCAGTTCAACGCATCAGCTATTACATTAGCCTTCCTTCCCTATATGGTATTTTATTTGGTAGTCATAGTCTTTGAGTAACTTCATCCATCTTCTCTGTCTCATGTTCAGTTCTTTCTGGTCCTACAGGTACTTAAGACTTTTGTGATCACAATACAGCTCAATAATTGCCCTATATAAGTAATGCCTCCAGATTTTCAAGGCATGCACGATCGCTACCAGTTCCAAGTCATGTGTAGGGTAATTTTCTTTATGTATTTTAAGTTTTTGTGAGGCATAAGCAACCACCTGACCTTACCGTATTATTACACGTCCTAATCCTTATTGACTTGCATTGTTGTATACTACATATAGTAGCATAGGATCAAGAATAATCAGCACAGGAGTATAGCTCAGCGTTTGCTTTAGCTCCTGAAAGCTAGCCTCATACTTTCTATCCCACATGAATGGTCGATTCTTCCTAGTGAGCTTGGTCAACGGGAGGACAATTCTAGAAAAGTTTTGAATGAATCTTCTATAATAACCTGCCAGTCCTAGAAAGTTTTGAACTTCTGTCACCATCTTAGGCTGTTCCCAATTTAGCACCACTACAACTTTACTTGGGTCTCTAGGTACTCCTTCTCAGGTAATTACTTAACCCAAGAATCTTACTTCGTTCATCCAGAATTCACACCTACTAAGTTTGGCATACAATTGCTTTTCTTTCAAAATATTCAGGACTATCCGTAAATGTTGCTCATGTTCTTCATGTGAGTACACTAAGATATCATCAACAAAGACCACGATAAACTGATCCAAGTACGACTGGAAGATTCTGTTTATATAATCCATGAAAGTTGCAAGCACATTTGTCAATCCAAATGGCATCACTAGAAACTTGTAGTGTCCATAATGAGTTTGGAAAGTAGTTTTCAATATATCT